TGAATGTAAATTATATAAATAAGGGAGGTACATGTATAAACCCCATATATGTAGGCATTGCAAAGGCAGCATTTGTGTCAGAATATACACAGAGTGAGCTCACACTTCTCCACAAACTCTTACACCCTCACATAATGCTTACACCTTATCTTTCTGTCACACACACACGCACACACGCACACACACACACACACACATACACACACACACACACACACACACACACACACACACACACTGAGACAGAGCCTTGGTAAGTGCTTACACAGACAGAGCGTTTGTCAGGCTGGGAGACGGGCCGTGGGTTAAGTGACTGAATGGGTGTCCACAGTGCTCAAGGCTGATGACACTTAGCCACAAACAGAGAGCAAACCAGTGCAGGTCACCTCACAAACACTACTCCCTCCTCTCTTTTATTATTATTTTTTCTGCATGAAGCTGCACACACACACACACACACACACACACACACACACACACACACACACACACACACACACATACACACACATACACAGCACAATCAACGTCTATCCACAACAATCAGAATATTATAAAAATGTTGAAATTGTGACTCAATCCTTCTGGATTAGCACTATGAAAAAGTACATTTATTTATAGAGTTACATCTAAACATTCTGTCTTCTGGAGTGCAATATAAGGTAACACTGTTATAACAGACCCCTATGAATAGCAACTTAATCATTATCTAATAGTTTGTTAATGATTGTTAATAAGTAAACTGCAAAAATGTGCTTTAACTTAAAAAAGTAAGACTCATTGAACTAAAACAAAGTTAACAGAAGAGCAATCTGTGTTTTTTTCTGTTAACTTATTATTTAAAGTTTAACTCTTACATTTTTATAATATTCTCTGATACGTTGTTGAACTCTTCGGGCAATTGGTGTATCCAGGCTCCGCTCATAAATGCATTCTTACAACGTGAATGTTTCTAGATTGTACATGTCTCACTGAATGTGGGCAAAATAAGGAACTGAGGCACACCATAGCTAAATTGTTGCTAATTGAGTCGTTACATAACGTTGAGTCTTCAGTTGAAAATGGTATGCTACAGAGACTGGACTATGTTGTAGTTTATGCTTCTTCAAGGGTTCTTTAGTAAAGAAAATGGTTCTAAGTTTTAACCTTGAACACTCAAAGAACAAGTTGTATGATTAAAGGGTTCTTTTCATCATTAAAGCTTTCAGATTGATGGAGAATGTGCTGTAGATGGTTCCATATATAATCTTATAGAAAAGGGTTATATATAGCACCAAAAGGGTTCTTCTACAGTTATGATGTCAAGCTTGTAACAATAGAAGAACCATTTTTGGTGCAAGATAGAACCCTTTTCAGAACACATTCTCCATCAATCTGAAGAACCCTTTCATAATGTAAAGAACCTTTAGTCCTGTAAAGTGTTCTTTGAGTGGTCATGTTTCTAAATAGAACTATTTTCTTTACAAGAAAACCCTTGAAAACCATCATTTTTAAGTGTGTAGCTAATCAAAACTTTGAAACAATAAAGACAAATTCCCTGAAGTCCCTGTAGTTACTGAATAATAAGCCTTTGTATGTAATAAGACTGGGACTTTAAGGGGTTAAATCCTAAATTAACTAATGATTATCACACTGAGCCTTTGACTTCAAAATGTAATGATTTTACTTTTTTTTATCACAAATCATTAATATTCATTAATATTCAGCCTCATTTTCTAACTCCAAAAGTACCAATAGTATACTCTATTTTAAATCAACAGCAAAACACTATGAGTAGTTTTAAAAAGATTAACTTTGAAAAGTTGTCATGCAGCTTAATTTCTCCACCAGTGTTTTAGATCCTATTCCTACAGCATTTTTTAAAAAAAATTAAAGTGACAAAGACAAATTTGTTATGATGCTAACATTAGCTCAATGACACAACAAAATTATGTAGGGGTTTATGTTCTGCAAAGATTGTCCAACCTCACAACAGTTGTTACAAAAGAATGCATTTGTGGGTGGAGCTTGGAAAGGACAATTATAAGCTTTAAAGAGCTGAGTTAGGTGTGTAAAGTAGCTACCTGTGAGAAACGCCAGTTATGTTTAACGCTAAGAATTTACCAAATAGTGATAAGTAGTAACAGATATTGGTAAGCCAAGGGTGAGGGTGACAAAGGTGCGTTTTTTTTTGTTTTTTTTTTCAATAAGTACAGTAATTAACTCCATATTAACTGGTGCATTTAGTGTAAAGTTCTCTGTAAGATATGAAACATACTTCACACAAGAATGCGAACGCAGATGCTTCGAGCTACGCAGACGGGGTTTCGTGTGTAGTTGTGTTAAACAATGTGGTTGGTATAGTGTAGTGGGTAACACCTCTGCCTTCTACACTGTAGACTGGGGTTCAATCCCTGCCTGGGTAAGCACCCAACGCTATACCAATAAGAGCCCTTGGACAAGACTCCTAACACTACCTTTGCCTACCTGTGTAAAATGATCAAATTGTAAGTCGTTCTGA